CGCTTCTGCCTCCTGGAAACTTCCACGCACGCTAGTCTTCATAATCACGCCTTTAATAATCTTAATTAATTCTAACTAATCTTAATTACTGTTTATAATACATTCATTATTCACACTAATCACATGCGCTGATTTGTGCATGTACTGAGATATCGGAGGAACATGCGACGGTTATTTAGATCGGAATCATGATCCGAAGGACCTATTTAATGTAATTAAATGAGTAAGATGGGAATCCGGTTGAGATTTTTTAGGTTCCAGTTACATTCAAGTTGGATTATTATCCGAAAATAAATTTGTATATGTAAATTAAATTTTAAAAACATGATGACATAACATCTAAAATTAAAATATTTTAAAATGTGTTAATATATTATCTAATCTATTATATGATTTTAAAAATTAGGATTTCTTCCATTGATGTGTTTAAATCAAATTGTAATGTCATTATATTATTTTTATTAATTAGGATTCTTATGGTTTATATTTTATTATCTATGATTTCTATTAGGTTTTTGGTTTATGGTTTTTACATTATTATGATTTGTTATATACACAAACAAAATGTTATTTCTCATAGGTAAAATTCCTCGAAAATGCATTTACCTCAAAGTCACACTGAATCTCTTGTCGATAGGTGCGTTTGACACATTATTTTACCCATATTCCCATCTATTCTCAAATATTGTTTAGCACATTATTTGAGAAATATTTGTATATTTTTTTTAATTATTTTAGACCCTTAAGTTTATTATTTCATAATACCCCTAGAAAAAAGTTAAAAATTAACAAAAACACCCCCTAAAACCATACTTGCCGATTCCGGCAACCACGTCGTGGTGGTACGCCGGAATTATCACAAAGGCCTACACTACGACTGAAACTGCCCGGTAATTCACGATCTGGTCTTTTCCGGTCAAACCACAATGAATCTGGCTGGAAAATGCCAGATCTAGCCGTCAGCGACGGCCAAAGAAATAGTCATATTGACCGACAACGACGGCTCCATATTTTGGCCGTCAGATGGACTTTTATGACGTCAACCAGCCAGATCTGGCTTATTCCGACCAGATTCGTGGTGGATTTGGCAAGAAAATGCCATATCGAGCCTAACCGCCAGATTTGACCGGTCTGTGCGTAACGCAATTTTTCGGCAAGATTCCAGCGGTGGTGGCCGGAATCTGGCACTGCAAGTGGTGGGGGTGTTTTTGTCATTTTACACAAATTTTTATATTGGGGCGTTTAGTTAAATTAGCAAACCTAGGGGGTTTGTTATAAAATTTTAAAATTTACCTTGTACTAATCCCTATTCAACTACCAATATTATTCTCAAAATCATATCCAAAATAAATAAACACAAACGGACCCTATAAATTATATTTTTTTTTTTTGTAACCGAGTGTTGTCGGGCTAGCTTGCATACACTTAATTAATCATTGTAGTCATTGAACACTCTACAAGCTCACAAGGACCGGATAAAAAACATTGTGGTGGGTGACCCAAAGTTTAAACGCAGAAACTCACCAAAAGAAATAGATCTCCTTGACCGCCAAGGTTTGTTGGCACTTAGAAGGAATTTTTTTTTTTTTTTTTTTTTCTCAAGAGCTGGAAAGTAAAAACCAAGAATAACAGTATTGTTCAAAAAGTGTAATCAAATTTCCGAGTTTGAATACCGTCGAAAATGTATAACCAAAATTAAAACAAAGTACTATTCTTCCTAAAAAACTATTAGAAATTTAATATCTCAAATAAGTTGTGTCACATGAATGGACACAATTTGCTCATGTTACGAACACACATGTAGAGATTTTGGTCATTCCTTAATTATAATTGACCTATTCAAATTAGAAAGTTCTTAATTAGTCAAATTTTTAATTATTCTAAATTCCCAATTGCATGATCTTCAAAGAAACGTCTAGATTTTATTATATAATATCATAGTCTAATTTTTAATCAACTCAATTGCTTCAAATGCAAACTAATTGATTGATTGGTCGATCAAGAGTTGGTGTTTGACCAAGACTAATAATTTTATGTTTTGATTTTTCAATTCTTTTTATTTATCTCTCATTCTAGATTAAAAATATAAGTGGATTTAAAAGGATTAAATATTTGAGATAATCGAATAATTTGTATAAATTGAAAACTTTATAACTCAATAATAACAATAATAATCATAATTAATTAATATAAGTAATGTTTTTATAATTATATGCTTAAAAAGGGAACTTCATCTTCCAACAACAATGGAAGGCTTTTATAATTGTTGCATTTTTTCGGGAAGGGCAACTAAGGCAAGTTTTAAATTGTTTAAAACTTTGGAAAGTTAACACATTACTCCAATTTTGGCATACACTGATACACTGAGTGCTATGACTTTATTTGTTTTTAACTCAAGATGGAAATTTACAAATGCTTTAAGTTTAAAAAATCGTCGATCAGATTGAAAGTTTGGAATTTTTAATCAAATTTCCCCTAACGTTTCAAGAAATTAGTCGGAAACCATCATTACTGACATATTTCGTTATTTGATCGTCAATTAACGGTTGAAAAAGCCAAAATAAGTTTATTTTACCTTTACTTTAATAATTAACTAAATAACTAACAAAAATATTTGGTTATGAATGATTAAATAAGTTTTTTCATGTCTACTAGGGAAATCAAAATTGTAATTGTATTATATGAAAAAATTATCAATAATAATTAAAGTATTAATATTTATCATCATGTTGAAAATTATGAATTATATAATGATAATTTAAAACGTAAAGAAACTTTTACATTATTTTAACCAAATTCAACAACTTTTTTCATAAAATATTTTTTAAAATTACATTTATTTCAGTAAATTATACTTTCATAACCTCTACTTTAAAAAGATTTTTTAATTTCGAACTAAAATCAAGAGATTTCTTTATTACAAAGGAAAAAAAAAATAGTTGTACCTAAATAAACTATACCAAAAGATAACGAACCCTCAATATATTGAAGAGAGTATATGATACTACGAGCATGAAAATAATTAACAAAGTTAATCTAAAATTAAAACGACTTTTCACTTAATTAAGTCATTTTCACTAAACATGATGTAGTTTCAATCTCAGTTTAAAGTAATTAATCAATTTTAAAAAATGTCATTATCTTAAGTTACATTTATAATTGACATTACATCTAATCTTGATTGTTTATAAGTTCCCTAGCGATCTATTTCAGTTTTTTGTCAAATATGAGTTAGGTTATTAATGCTAATATTTGAACTAATTACTTGTAAAAAACGACATGTCATCTTGTAACCACTTTTAGTAGTGCAATGAATTGACATTTTGTCTTTCTTATTTTGCTTGTTTTACCATATGTTATGTTAAGTATAATATAATGATTAAAGGTTGATCTCGTCTATGTATTGGAGATTATTTTTAAGTATAAACTTTATGTCTTCGGCCTTTTTTTGTCCGCACTTGGTTGTTTCAGAAACGTGACTTTAACCTTTATGTGTTTGACATTTTTTTTTAGTGAGTATTCACCGATTTAGAAATAAACAAACCGTTAGGTTATTCTATTTAAGTTTGAAGGGAACAACATATTTACTATTCATCTAAATTCAATTAATCTAACATTTAAAATTTGTCAATATTATTGAAAGGTTGATATATCTTTTAGAGCTTAAACTGGTAAAAAAAAAAAAAAAAATGTCATTTAGGTGAAGGGATCTCAAAAGAGGATTTCAATTTTAAATATATGTATACTTCAACTATATTACCCAGCCCATGTTAAAAGTTATTTTAGGCCAAAGTTCGGGCTGATCAGCCCGGCCCAAATCACATATATACTCAATTATTTCGTTATCATCATATTCTTATATTATATAGCAAAAATTCTTGAACTTCAAATTTTAACTTAAATTATCCTCGCATACAAGAATTAACTCTTGTTAATGAAATTTAAGTTCTGATTACAAAAGAAAATTAAACTTTTTATAAAAGAGATTGTTCGTGTAATAGAAAGAGATATGCAATCGAACCCATCTGTCTCTAGTCTTAGTCTCGAGTTTTTTATTTTATCTCCGTTAAATGTAATTTCTTAAATACACTGTTTAACTTTAGTTTCCCTCATTCATTAAATATTACACTTTGACCACAAATGTAATTTTCTGATTCGGCCACCGGACGGTTTTACTTCTTCATGATATCCAAGCGAGGTATTTTTACCCCTTTCTTGACGTTGAGGCTAGCTAAGAGCAAATCCATTGAAGTAGGAAATTTCTTTATGCCTTTCTTTTGGTCTTTGGATACCGAAACTCAAATGCTTTTTCCAATTAAGAAAACGAAAGAGGATCCAAAGATGAGCTATCAAGAACATGTTACATGTGCTTTAATAGCTTTTTATATTTTATATATTGTTTAAACTAAGTCTTTCCCAACATTCCATGGTGGGTTGTGAATTGGCTTAGCCATTTTGGTGATTTTATTCCTTATATTAATATTAATTTTGACTTGAATAAAATATTCTTCTATTTTTGGTGATTAGGTTTTGCTTTATTAGCCGCAAAGAGCTCTTTGTCATTCTTTTAATAATTCAATTTAATTGAAATACAAGAATTCTATAAAACGAGCTAATTAAAAGTAATTAGTTAATTACAATGACAAATAGATTGTTTGTTTGCCAAGAAAATTAGAGAAACTATGAAAAAAAAAAAGAAAAAAAATATAGAATCTAGAGATTGAGAGGATATTAGAGAGAAAAAAAAAAAAAAAACCCTCTTCTGATTTTACAAGTTCAAAACTTATTAATTGTGTTTTATGCTATTAATTCCTTTTATAATTTGTTGAGTTTTATGGTATTTTGTTGTTTGATTATTTTCTTTTACTTCTTTTGAGATTAATTTTATGCTATTACACATCCTGAATGCCTTTATTCTGTAATAAATTAACCAATGGAATATTAGAAAATCATATATAAAATAATTACGGAAATTAAGGAAGCAGCAGTAGGTTTAAACATATATAATTTAAACCTTATTGGATATATCATGATAAGAAAACACATCTATAATGAACACACGATCGACAGACACTCGTAGATCAAGGAGTAAAAACATATTGAAGATTTTGGAAAACATCTTCATTTGACAAATCCAATTAAGACTCCAAATAAAAACACAAAAGAAATTCAAGAACCAAACGCTAATTCACCATCTTCTTATTCGTATTTATAATGGTGACACTCAATTAATTATTTAACAATTCTTTGCATCATTGTAAAAATTAATGTCCATTGTTATAACCTCCAGCGCCTGACCCAGCTCGAGACCCAGCATAGGATCCAGCTTCGGACCCTGCTCCGCCGCCGCCTGACCCAGAAGAAGTTGAGCTAGATGAAGAAGAGGAACTGGAACTCGAGCTAGACCTAGATCCGGACCCAGACCCAGAACCGGCTCCTGCGCCTGAGCCTGAACCGCCCCCACCCAACCCAAGGCCTAGCCCAATACCAAGACCAACCCCAACTCCTCCCAAGTCCACCCCAAGGTCCTTTCTTGCCACACGCCCTTGGCTCACCACACTCAAGCTTGAAAACACAAGCAAACCAAGTATAAGCAAACACCCCAACTTGGCCATGGCTAGAAACAAAGTCCAAAATATCAAACAAAACCTTTAGGAAGCAAGAAAGGTAGAGGTTTTGTGAGATGGGGATTGAGGTGAAGAATTTATAGTAAAATTTTTAGATAGTGCATGCAAAATGTAGCACGAAATGAAGAAGTGGGGGTACATGTGCCACCGCCTCTAAATTTATTATTAAGAAATTTGATGGTGGGCAAATATGTGGCTTCAAAGGGTGAGAAATTTGGTAGTGGGAACTAGCTAGGGTTCTGAAAATTGGGCCACTTTTGTTAATGATATGAGGATTAGGTGTCATTGTGCCAACCCATGAATTGCCCACTCGATATAGTGGAATTTGCATGCTTAGATTGTAAGGCAAAATTTGTCACTGCGCCAAAAGCAAGAAAAAGGCAAAGGGTCTTTTTGTAGCTGCTGAATTCGTAGTAAAATAATGAGAAAGACCATGTTTCCACTTCCCACTGAGCAAGAATTTGCTAGAAAGTTCAAGACTGCATTAGTGGGTTTGATCATTAATTAATTAATTTTGAAGGTGGTCAACATTAATCAATTTATTGATCTTAATTATAAGGATCCTGTATGATGTTAATTAACATGTGTAATTGTCTAATCTTATTTCACTATGGTTAATAGTTTTCTTAAGATTATCTTATATCTAGTTGGAATTTGTTTCTTCATTTGTATTAATGGATATAAGGCACTCTAGTATTGTACACTACAATTTAGAATTCAGGATTTATATAGTTCAATACAATTTATATCAATATTCATAATATTTAATGATCAAATTTGCGGTTTGCTCTTATAAGGTCAGGAAGTTAAACCTTTTATAGACACTTATATATGGATAAAAGCTATTATTTTTTGTTTTTTTTTAAGATTATAGGGTTTGACCAGACTTTAGTTTTAAACTCAGATTCGTAAAGCTTGTTTTCTAATACAATATTAGAGTGAATCTCATCGTTGCCTTAATGGAATTACTTAATTAAGTAAATATTAGAAGCATAAGGAAGTAAATTATGAAACTTCAAAAGCGTAATTATTTAGAAATGAAGTTATAATCTCTTTGACAAATTCCATGCATGGAAAAAGTTAGAAACTTTGTATATCAGCCAGAAAAATTAATGGCAGATATGGCATAATTTATTACATAAAATTAAGATCATGTCTTTTTGAAATCAGAAGTTGAAAGAATATGTAAATTTCTATACATGTATAATTTTAGTAAAAAGATTTATTAGGGCATGAAATCCTAACATTCAAAACTTCACATTTATCACTTTCCTTTTTAGGTGAAAGACTCAAGATGTTCTTATATCTAAAGATATGAGACTAATTCCCGATCAGACTCGGGTAAATGCCTTAAAAACCATAAGTTGTTTCCAGTGAAATTCAAACCTCTGACATTACGGATAAAGTTCGTTCATTAGAAGTTTAGTTATCAGCTAAACCACAGCTCATGGTTACCATTTATCACTTTCAGAATCTTGCTTTTACTTTCCATTATTTGTTTTAACAATTTTGGTGAACTTCCAGGAAATCTTTCGAATGTTTAAGGCTTTTCTGTAAGTCAGAAATAATATGCATATTGTAAAGAAAGGCATTATCAGTTGCATTCTCTTAATTATTCTTTGATATACAAACTGATCGATCATATATACAATGATATTGAAGCCTCTCCACACACTTCTAAGAATCTTCTGCTACTGAAACTTAGCTTCAGATGCTGGCAAGATAATCATAATGAATATTTCTGCAAGCGCATGCCTGCAGGAATCTATTAGCATGTCTTCTCTGAAAAGTTTTCACACTCACAGTTCTCTGATTGAAGGTTTATATAAGAAAATTTTTATCTGCAAATCTAAATTCATTAACTCTTCGTCAGGATGTCTGGAAGAGAGATTGATTGAGTTTATGTAAATTATTTTTCTATAAACTAATTACATGAACTTTAATGAAAATGAAAAAAAAAATTAAAAAATAGGAAAAGTTAATTCAAAATAACACATTCATCATTCTGAATTGATATCTTACACAAAGTAGTGGATAAATATATAAATATGTAAAAAAAAAAAAAAAAAAGGTACTCAACTTCACCATCTACTTATTTTTATACAAAAATGGTGAAAATAATTATTATTTAATTAATTTTTAAACTTCTTCTAGATAAATTTCCCGGAAATATAAATATTCTCAGTCGCCGCGGCCCTCGCCATAACCTTCACCGTAGCCCTCACCGTACCCTTCACCGGCGCCATTTCCTCTTCCATAACCTCCTCCATGTCCCCCACCATATCCTGAACCACCTCCATTACCTCCCCGGTTTCCTCCGGATCCTGAACCTGCCCTGGAACCCGCATAGGAGCCTGCATAGGACCCGGCTTCCGAACCTGCACCAGAATTTCCTGAAGAACTGGACGAGGACGAAGACGAAGAAGATGAACTTGACCCTGAACCTGAACCAGAACCAGAACCGGCCCCGGCTCCGGACCCCGAGCCGCCGCCTCCGCCCAAGCCAATGCCGACTCCAGCTCCAATTCCGACCCCAATCCCTCCAAGGTCCACCCCCAAGTCCTTTCGCGCAACCCGGCACTCGGATTCAATAATGGATAGAGTTACAAGCAAAGCAACGAAAACTAGAGAGGTTAATGATGCCATATTGGTGAAAAGAAATGCGGAGTATTTGTATCGGCTTTGGAGAAGCTTTTGTTCTTGGCGGGAGGAGTAATTGGGAGAGTGAGTTACTTATAGAATTATAGTTATTGATGAGAGTGTTAGTGGAAGATTTGGTGGAAGCCTGGATGTGAGATTCGTGGGCGGAATCTTCAGGATGTGTTGACAAATGGGTTTGATTTTACCGACCCATTTTGATAGTGGAATGTGAATGTTTGGCTTGTTTTTTGTGAAGGCAACTCAGAGAACTTGATGTGTACAGATGTAGGATTTTGTGTAGTTTTGGTAGTGTTATTATTGGGTAAAGGTATTGACTTGATTGAGGTTGATGAAAATACTTAATCATTTCAAGATTAGGTCTCTCTTATAGTCAACTTTTTGTTCTTTATGTGGGTTACATTAGACAGTCGACCCATTTTGATAGTGGAATGTGAACTTTAATTTATCATTGTCTAATGTATATGATGTAATCATATGAATATATTGATATGTGATACCATTAACTATCATAATATCCTTATGGAAACTCTATATTTTGTTATAGTAAGACATGGTGTTTATAAAGTACATTCTATTAGTGAGTCTTGACATAAATCATAGAGGATGTGGTTTAATTCGATGTCTTATCAAAGATTGACATAATAAAGTCCCGCAACAAATGCAACCCTTATATTTAGCTACCATCGTTGAGTTTGGAATTTTAATAAGATTATCGCCATATGACCTCTTAATCTTCCACCAAAAAAAAAAAAAAAAAACCTCAAAATATCATTGATAGACTTATTTCTTTTTATACAATTTTTTGAATTTTAATGCTATATAATAATACAATCATCTTGGCACTTACCCATTAATGGTCAAAATGTAAGATGTTTGCCTAAAAAGTCAGCTATGTGGGCTTCGTCAGCAAAGGCCAATCAAATTCAAGGAGGCTTTTGCCGTCTAATGTTTCATGCCGCAAGGACGGAAGAGTATGGCTATCGTCAATGGACAAGTGAACGCCAGTTTTGTGAGTGTGTTAGGAATTGTCATCTGCCCAGCCTTACGGATTTAAGGATCTCCCGTGCAGACAACCAATGAAAAGCGGGTTAGGAATGTACCATACCTCCGATGCAGACTCTGATTACTACTCTTGAATCCTCCAACTATAAATAGAGACTCCTCTCTCATTAGATTGACTTATTTTAGTCTAAAAAATCATACATTCTCTCTCTCTCTCTCTCTCTCTCTCTCTTATATAATATATATATAATATTATATTATATATATATATATATATATATAATATATATTATATATATTATATATATATATATATATATATATATATATATTCTTTAGATTGTAATTCAGCTCCCTGCACGATTTGACTGTAATCATCCATTGATACACTACATGGATGAGATTCGTTTTTGAGCATCCAAACCACTTTAAAAACGCTTCTTATTTATATTTTTACTGCGATTTTCATATCATGTATAATTTCTAGCCCCTTAACATTTTGCACCTTGAGTCATTGATGTCAAAATCCAGCACAATATAAGATTAATAGTAATTATATATTGTATAACATATGATTAACTAATGTGATTATTTAGCATAATTTATAATCATTATATTAATTGGGATTTGCTGATTCTAATGAGCTACACATAAAACTTCTTTAATGATGCAAATTTGAGTCCTAACTTGGGATAGTTATAATAAAAATAAATTTCAGATTGTAATTAGTTAAATTTTTTCTAATTTTCATCTTAAAAAAGTTTCTTACATATTAATAATTATCTGTATATTACATAAAAAAAAAATATATTTTGTTACATTAAAGGTTTATAATGAAATAAATATTTATCTAAATTATTTGGATAATGATTTATACTTTAGAGAAATTATTATTTTTTTAATTTGTAGTACGTAATAACTCGCTAGCATAGCAATTTTTTATTGAACCAAAATATTTCTAACTTTTCAAGTATGTTTAGAGTTTTTGCATAAAACTTTTTTGTTTTTTACTATCATACTCAAAATTATTTCATTTCTTTTCTCTTCTAATGCACCAGTGATGAAATCTTAATACATACTACTAAATGAATTATAATAAATCAAATATTAATTTTTTTTAACTACACATTTATTAAGTTATAATCTTTTTTGTTCATCCCTTTGTAAGACTGTGTTTGGGGCATTACTTTTACCAATCCTATCCAATCCTACCTGTACAATATATATATCCCTGTAACCAAACACTTGCTTTAATCGTTTCTAGGATTTAAATTTTAAGCCTTTGTCCAGACGGAGAAGACGATTGTTTAAGGAGTCTAAGCCCTTCAAATCCAAACTTTTTAATTTAATTTAATTTAATTTAATTTAATTTTATTAATTAATGGGTCACTCATAAATTTCAAATTACCACCAAATTGCTCATCGGTTTTGCCTCAGAACTGGCCAAGCTCTGAGCCTACGGGACCCTCGGTATCTGTATGTAATTCTGATTCTTTTGTTGCTTGATTTTCTTGTTCTTTTTTAAGCTTTAATGGTGTTATCTTTTGTTATTTTTAATTGGGTTTTGTTCAAATTTTGTTAAGTGTGTATAGATTTTGATGTTGCATTCAGTTAAGTGAATCCAAATAAATATTAAAGTTTCGTTTATGATATCTGGGGAGTTTAGTTTGTGTCACTTTATGTTAAAAGTCGCTGAATTTAATGAGAAAATTGATTAGTGTTGGTTTTTATCTCTCATTGTTGTAAGAATTCAATAGTGTTTTCATTTATTTACTTATTGGGTTGAACGTAAATTGCTCTTTATTTAAAAGAATTGATTACTGGGAATGTTGTTAAGTGGTGATAGTTTTTTATTTTACAGTGTCTTTGTATGTAGTTGTGTAGATACATGGGCCTGTATGTTTTTGCAAGTTTGTTCAAGTTCATTTTGATATGGGAATTGGGAACCAAAGGTGTTAAAGGGCTTAACGTTTAAGCACTTTGAAGTTGAACATAAGATGGTGAATTTGTGTTATTAGAAAAGGGTTTCGAAAGATTGTGTAAGAAGATAGAAGATATAGGAAAGCAGATTTTCGTCTACAGCTTGTTTAGTGGGAAACTGTGAATTGAAGAGAAGGCCTCAACTTGTTTGCATTTATAAGCTTTACACTCGTCGATGATTCTATTATTACTAAACATAAGGTGGAGAATCAGCATTCTTGGTGGATTTTGATTTGTGGATTTGATTGGAGTGTAGTGTGATTGAGACTTGAGAGAGAATAAATGGAAACTTTTTCCCTTAGCCCTTATGGTAGTCCAAATAGCCATTAAAGTTTTGATATTGTAAGAGGATTACTAGCCTCTCTGACTGGCAGGATGGATGATTAAATTTAGTAAAACGGAATTGTATGTGCCTCATACACCTTTCTCTGTAAAACGTGTTTGAAATTACTGGGAAACCTATATCTTGATTAATTATACTTAAAACAAACCTAAACCATGCCTCTGTTTGAGAATGAAATTGATGTTGGTCCAAGGTCAGTTGACCTTATCATATTCTATAAACAGAATCTCTGCGTTATGCCTCCCTGATAGCTTTTGAATATTCCTTGAAATCCGCAGTAGGACAATCTGGCAGATAATTTTGGCATTCCTTCTGTTGGGTAGGTTCCTGTTGGAAGTTTTTTATAAGAATCTTGTTCATAATACCTGGAGATTTGTCCGTATTAGGAGACGTTGCAAACTTTTTTGTTATTATTACATTTTTACTTAGCTATGATTGCTTGTCATGATTAACCAGAAAGTATTTACATCTCAGGACCTGGATCGTTACTATTTATGTTGGTTGTAGTCTGACTGGATTGTCAGACAGATGGCTGGCAGAGGACGTATTACAGCTTTTGAGGGACGTACCCAAACCCCAGGGATGTTGCGGCATGGTCCGTTTCCTGGTCGTCGATCATTGGAGCCTCTTCCTCCTCCTGGGCTTTTAGAGGATAAAATTGCTGTTCAGGCAGCAGAAATTGAACAACTTGCCGGGGACAATCATAGATTGGCAGCTTCCCATGTTTCCTTGAGGCAGGAACTCGCTGCTGCACAGCAAGAAATTCCAAGACTCAAGGCACACATTAGAAGCATCCATGCTGAAAGTGATATTCAGATCAGGGTGTTACTGAGTAAAATAGCAAAAATGGAAGACAGTATTAGGGCAGGTGAGAGTGTGAAAAAAGACCTTCAACAAGCACACATTGAGGCACAGAACTTGGTCAGAGCCAGACAAGAGTTGACTGTCAAACTTCAACAGGTTTCACAGGAATTGCAGAGAGCTCGGCTTGATGTTAAAAGTTTACCTGATTTACATGCTGAACTTGACAGTTTGAGGCAAGAACATCAGAGGTTACGGTGAGTAATGCAAGTGCTTAAGTTTCTCTTGTGGTATTTCCCATATTTGACAGTTAAACCTGCGGTTATTACCAAACCTACTGCAATCTTCATAACCTATGCTTCAATTATGCTAAAATGGGTAATAATGAGATCAAGATCGCATTAATGCAATTTAAGGACTCCATTTCTCCTTCTGGCACCCTGAAAGTCTCTAGTTTCAAGTCTTATTGAGAACTAATTTTATATTTCAATGTATAAGCTGAGAATTATGAGAAATATCATTAGTCGTCTGATCCATTACTGTGTTTGGAATAATCAAACTTACTTTCAGTTGCCAATGGCTTTGATGTAATCTTAAAGGGAGACATCAGAAAGCTGGATGTGATAAGGAACTTATTTGTGTAGAACTCTCAGTCGAGACCAAACTTTTAAACCTCTCTGTTTAAGTCATATTATGGGTGCTGATGGATGATGGTTATGTTTTCTAATGTGGCAAAGAAATGTTACTAAGATCACCAACATTTAAAATATCTTTGTTTCAGCTTCCATTGTCATTTTCTTCTTCTTCTAGCAGGATTCAGCAGTTTATCAAAGTTCTAACTTGGTTCCTTTTATTTGTTTTAATCTTTTGTTTGGGTAAAAAGTGCTACATTTGAATACGAAAAGGGTAAAAACATAGAGAAAGTGGAGCAATTAAAAGCAATGGAGAAAGATCTAATTGGGATGGCAAGAGAAATGGAAAAGTTAAAAGCTGAGGTGATGAATGCTGAGATGAGAGTACATGGTAACTTTTCTTGCATGTAGCATGGTTTTATTGGTTGAAATTTCATTACTCTGATTCTTCTGGCTTGCTGTAACACTTATGCTGGCGTTATTTTATGCAGCTCCGATCCCATACACTGGTGGCTACATGAATCATAGTCATTCTTTCCCGCCCCCTGTACAGGGCAGTGCCATCTATGTTAATGGCTATGGACAGCCTCTTGTGCATATGGGTGTTGTGCCAACAATCGAGGGAACAATTCCACATGGAAGTGGTAACCAGGTGGCTGCTTCCAGTGTGGTTGGTGTTGCTGCTGTCCCTGCTACCAGTGGTGGTGCAGTGTGGGGAGGACCATATGATCCATCAGTTGCTCGGAGGTGAACTTGGAGAAGCTGCAATTATACGTGCAGACAAGTTTCTTCCTATCGCAGCATTGCTGGCATGTATGGAGGATAATTGATTGAGTTATATTGTTGTGAAAATTATGGTTAGATAGGTCAAAATTTATTCGAGAACCTCGTACATGGCTTATTATGACCGGTAACAACTTGCTTTACTGAAATACTGTGCAAATTAGGATCTGGTCACTCTGTCATGCTTCCAAATAATTGTTGTTCACCGCAAATTTTGTGTATATTCTCATAGTTTTAGGTCAGTAAGTTGAAATGAAGCTTCATGGCCTGCATATGAACTTTTGCATCATGGATGAAAAGGTTCAGTCATTATCTTCAAGCATCTTTAATTTTACTGATTACTACTATTCTCTATTCTTATCTTAACCGAAGAAATAATGGGAAAACAGCAAGTACAAAAATGAGTAATAACCCCCAGTAAAGATTGGTACAATTCAATTCAACATTTTGTTCATTCAGGTTTGATTGTCATAGCTCTCTAATTTAGATTAGGTTTATTGTTGGATGAACTACATTATTGGTATTGACCCAAAAAAGAAATGGTAGGTACAAGACAACTAGTCTGTGAATAATCAACCATCACATTGTAAGTATTGGATAGGTTCGATCTATAGTCATTAGGTCTTCCTTAAAGATCTACTAAATTTATCGAGTTGTTTCAAAAAATCAAAATGGCCGGTTATTAATGGAATTTTGTCGACTCTGCGTAAAGTACTTGTTTGGATGAGGGCTCCTTAACACATCGTAAGCTAAACATGTGCTGACTAATAACCAACTCACAATGATATGTATTTATGTTCGACGTCGTACAAATCAAGCTCTACTAGATTGTACTTATATTTTCTTTTCATCTATCACCTTGATTGATTAATTTTAAAAGTAAGTATTTTTGTGATGAATGAATGAATAAGAAGGTATTAACCAAACATGAAATCAAACTATTAACCAAAAATTCGAAGTGCATGCCTTTGATTAGCCTTTATTAATCAAAGAAACCCTAACTTCTTACAAACAAAATTAACAAAAAAAGAGAAAAGAAGAAGGAAAAGGAAAACTACCCAAAAAAGAAACGAAATAAAATGACCACCTAAATTTGCCTAATCTCCAAAACGCTCCAACATGGTGGTAACGAAGAGCAACAAATGAGAAACAATGAGCAATAAAGCAATTAAAACCATGAAGAGGCCAAGCTTCCACCATTTGCTTCTCAAAGTTTTGAGAAATCCTTCTTTGCAAGCCCGGCAACTGTAGCACAAAATGGTTCTGTCATTTGTCCATATATCACAATCTCTATCACATGGAGCTGAGTTTTTCATGGCTGCATCGTCTTTCCTCCAAAAGGTTGCATTCACAAACTCCATCCCACAGATTGATGGTGGCTTGCAACATCCGGCCTTAAAAAATCACAACCATATTTATAATAATCACTTTCTGATTACAGTATGAGCGTTTCAATTAAACGATTGCAAAAGGGTTTCAGAATCATATTAATGAAACTTCAGCCATAACGTTATCGGACTGGTAATATAAAACTAGAAAAATGAAATAGTATTAATGAAACTACATGCATAATGTTATCGGAACGGTAACATAGAATTAGCAATGAAACAGTATTAATGAAACTACAAATATAATGTTATCGGCCGGTAACATAGGTCTAGAAATGGAAAGGTTATAGTGAAATTACAAACATAATGTTATCAGACCGGTAACATAGAATTAGAAATAAAATAATATTTGTGAAACTATAGACATAACGTTATCGATATGGTAACATAAAACCAGAAATGAAACAATATTAATGATATTATCAGACATATATATAACATAGAACTAGAAAGGAAAAGTTATTATACCTCAATGGAAGTTAACTTGCTCATACTAAAATCATAAGGTTTAAAGGTGATTGATCTTGAAAACAAGTCGTCACAAGTTCTTGTATCATAAATGCAGGTTTTGATATGGTTCCAATTCAGATCATCTTGAACCTTCGACCTCAACCACTTGGGAGAAGCAGGAATTCTCCTACTCTCCATATCATAAGCCCCCACAAGAGCCAATCCAACAACGAGCATCACCAGCAACGGCACAATAACCAGGAGGAAAGCCGGCATCGGAAACCGCCGTCGCAAGAACAAGGCGGCGATGGAGATGATGAACATGAAGATCAACGCAATGCCGATCCCAAATTGCAGTTTTGGAAGCCTCAAGAGGCTCTCGCAGTCGGAGTCTCTCATGTAGAGAAGCCATATGACTGAGGCGAGAATCGGAAGAGACAGAATGAAGGACAACATTGTTATTAAGCCTGAAATGGTTTTTGCATTAATTAGTGCTTCTGGGCCTGGTGGTGGTGGCGGTGCTTCTGATGCAGCTGTTTTGTCTGCCATTTTTGTGGGTTGTGGAGGTGCTTCTGCGGCTGGTGCTGGTGCTGGTGGTGTGGATTTTTCTTCAGTAGTTGTAGTTACTACAACAGTTTCAGCCATGTCAGTGAAAGAGTGGACTGGTTGGGGGTAATAAATGTTGAAGAAATATATGGATTTTCTTGTATTATTGGTGGTTTAATTTTTGCAATTAATTGATTTACCAAGTCAATTCTCAAGTTTGTTTAGAAATCTAGGGAGAGAAGAGAAATATTTGGGGAAAATTAGGAACTACTATTTGACATTAACTTTGTAGGTTTTATTTCCGTTTCACCCCTGAGGTTTAGTGTTAATACGTTTTTCTTCTTCAATTTTGGGAAATCAACATTGACACCTTCAAATAAAGGTTATTTACCACTTCCATGTAAAGGTGGAAGGGGTGGAAAACGCATTTTGAATAACGGGTTGGCAGTTTTTGTCAAACGGTTAAGCATTTTTACATTCAAGAATCATAATAATACCAAATCAATTAACCTGTTTGGTCAAAACTTCTAATTGTTTGACAAAAACTACAATCGTTTTGATAAAAAAATATCAGCAATTTATTCAAAATATATTTTCTAAATCCCTTAAAACATTACATTTAACTAACAGACATGTCATTTGGGGTAAAAAAAGTTAGTTTTCCAAATTTTGGGGCGAAAGGGTTTTGTGCCAAACCTTCAGGGTGATAGGGAAATACTAATTTTGTGTATGAATTCTTGAGTATCAAGATATGTAATAAAGTACTAGAACTGTTATATCATCCAAAGTTTTTTATTACTTCAATGGTAATAATATCTCGTTTTTTGACTAAAAATTATTGCTTGGTTGATCTAGTAATGTTATTGAACTAGCGTAATCTTCGGTTAAATCTAAGGACTCGAAGTATTTGGAAAATAATTTTTTTTCTTTTTAAAGAAAAAGAAAAAGTAATTTGCATATCTAAGTAGATATTTTGATGTTCAAAGAGTGTAGTCAAGATCCACCGGGCTAGGGCTAGTTTATGAGTATAACTAATTATACACATGGCAAAAAGAATCCTTAAAAGATTCTAAGTAAGGTTAGAGTAAGAACAGGGTAATAAATAACAGAAAACTAATATATCATTTTGGATTTCATCAAGTCAATCTCGAATCAGGCTATTAGTACTTTCTTCGATAAGAGAAATTCAGACTTATTCAATGGTCCTAATCTAATTCAACACTAAATAAGTTCGAATAGTAGGATTAACCACACACTTGTATAAGAATTTCTAGGCTTTACTGTTTGTTACAGGAGATATAATTTACAACTCAAAATATGAGATTGCACAAAAATTGATACCATATATACTCCCAATTTTGGTCCCAACTAATGTAGTTGTTAATGTATCATCACTACATTAATTGTAAAATTTTATGAAACAACGTTGTGCTTCTTACAATTAATATACATTAACAGCCATATCAGTTGAAATCCTAACTTTATATATGTAACATCACTTGAAACACTAAAGATATTACGATCATATTCAACTCAAAATATTACATATTAGATATTGAATATATTTAACACTAATGTCATTTTATATTTACTTGATTATCACGTTTAGTTGTTAAGTAATATAAGATTTCGGTAATCTTTCAAAATCAATAGTAATTACTATTAGTAATATATGAGATAATTTATCTCAATTTTCTTAGGTATTTTAAGATTACTTGAAAATCTTATTTTTATTACAATTTTACCCCTTATTAATAAGATTTTTGGTCAAAAATACCCTTATTTTGAAAATAATTTACAAATATATTAATCGACTATTTTATCCTTGTATATAAATTTTTTAGGACATAAATACCTCTAGACTTTAAAAAAATTACCCAAGGGTGGTGGCTGGATCTGGCCACCACCGTCAGCAGCCAGCCGGCGAGGGAATGGCACATGACCAATTGGATCTGGCCGGCCGTGCATTGTTAAGGTCTTTTTCGGCAATGGATATGTGATCCATGGACAGAAACGACCATATCTGGTTGTGAAAAGGCTAGATATTTGGCCGTGAAATGACGGCCGTTTCACGACCACAGATTTGGTCGAAAAAAACTTCATCGGCGCACGACCTGTCAGATCCGACCGCTCGTGCGCCATTCTAACAACTGCCAGTGGTGGTGGCTGGCTGCCGGTAGTGGCTTGGGGTAGGTGGAGGTGATTTTGTTATAAATTAAAGTTTTATATAACCGGAGTATTTTAGCAAAATTTCAAATGTAGGGGTTAAAAGAATGATTCAAAAAATAATATCATATTAATATTTAAAAATGAGGACAATTTAGTAATTTATATAAAATACCTACCAGTTTATACTCCCAACCAAACATATTAATATAACATACGCACTAATTTATTCTAACTTAACCAAATACATTTTCTTAAATACTCCCAGTAATCTTCAAAGTAATCTATCTTTCCATTAATATAACATTCTTAGTAATACAACATTCCCTGAATAAGACACACCCTTATATTTATTTATTTTTAATTATAGGACTATCATCAATTTATTTATATTTGGGGTTAAATATAATTTTAATTATAGAATAATAAACATATTTGTTAATCAAGGTTATTAGATGATTAGTTAAGAAAAGAAATATCTAAAGATTATAATAATATCACATTATTTGCTTAATTCGAGTATCGATTTAAATGAAAATATTAATCCAAAATCTTAAAAAACATGAGCCTTTTAATTATTTTACTCATTACACGTGGCTAATTATAATTGGCAATTGCACGAACCGGATACAAACACTATACAGAGAAACACAAATTCATTTTTATAAGGCTTTTGTACTGTGTAGCCATATCAAATTCGAAACCACCAATTTCTCGTGTTCGTTGATCGGATCACTCATGGCGGACGAGGTAAACTTTCTGTTTGGCTCCCCAGAAAGTAGAAACTGCTGGAAAATTAAACAAAATTTCAAGCGTACTTATTTCTCATCAGATTCAACATTTAATTTCCACGCCGTCGTATTATTTATTTATCACTATTAACTCGTTTCGCTAAATTATTAACGCAATCAATCTTAATCTCGATTAATTAGTTATGTGATTTTGCAAATTTTCGTCTATATTTAGGTTCATGATACGGTTTCGTGCTAGGTCTGGTAAACGGGCCTTCCGTGGCTGTTGGATTGACAATTTTATATGTATTCCATTTTGTTACAATTCGTTTATGTCAATTATGTGTACAAGATTTTAGGTTGCAAAAATGGGTGATCCGGTAACGTTACCGGATTTGCATTCCGGTAATTGTTAACGATTTGCGTGTGGTGTAGTGTTTTATTGGTATTGTGGTTTTATTTTTAGATTGAACTCAAAACAGCTCCTGCTGATTTCCGGTTTCCGACCACTAATCAAACGCGACACTGCTTCACTCGCTACATTGAGTTTCATAGGTAAAGTTTGTGAATTCTTGGCAGTTTTGGTTCTGATGGAAATGCTTTGTGTACTGTATATTGTGGTTTGTTCTTGAAAACTGAATGTTTGTTGCAGGTGCTTGGCCGCGAAGGGTGAAGAATCTAATGAATGTGAAAGATTTGCCAAATACTATCGTTCGCTCTGCCCGGGTGAATGGGTGAGTAAGCTGAGTTATTTGTATTTGGCTAAGTTACTTGCAATTCACTTAGTTGTAAGATGTAGCATGTTATGTGCTCAAATTGTGTCACTTATGGTGTTTTTGAAAGTCAAATTGTTATGCATCTAATGCACGAACTTTGAGTATATTGGCTAACTCTTCCATAGTTGGCTTTTCTATGTCCTAATTTTGAGATATCTGTTCCCTTCTGTGGAATAAGTAAACTTACTAGTATTGTCGATGGATCGGAGGAAACTGCTAGATAAAAAATTTCATGTCAAACCTTTAGGATGCTACTCTTTACTCCGTTCATGCCCGCACTCATATATGTAGGCAGAAAATTATTATCATACATTTGCATGTCCATATACGTATTCAATACTGTGTACCCACTAATATTCTCAATTGCAGTTATGCTGTCATGTCTAAGTTTCTGGGAGTTTCTATGTTGGACATCTTGTATCTGTGTAAAACTTTTGAGTCTGATTCTCGTATGTGCATATCATCAAATATTGGAGACAATCCCTGTATACATAACAACCCTCAAAATTGAGATAGAAATGAGAGGAATAGTATTTTCATCGAAGATCTAGTCCATAGCTTTATATTTTACATATTGATAATGGTGGTTTTCAATATCAAGTTATGTCATATGCTAGAATGCGTTTATGATAACCAGCAGCTTATCTGTGTTTTTGGAGATCCGCTGATATTTAGGCATCAAATATTTTGTTGAGTTGACATTTGATTTCTGATAGCATGATAGATCACGGGATATATGCAAGTAATACTGGTTTTGTTGTTCAGGATCGGACCTGAAATTTCTTTCTTGGTACTGTGGTTATTACAATCTGTATTTCTGATGAAACAATAGAGTTACTGGTTTTGCATTCATTTATTATTCAGATGATTGCTACAGAGAAAGAATCACCATGTTTGTCAGATGGTCATTTGTATTCCATGACCTTACTTTGGATGTTTTCTAATTGCTAGGGTAGGAGTGATTTGCGTAACTGATTGGCACAGACCATCGCTATTTTTGTTTAATCTTTTTTTGTTCTTAAATTGATGCAGGTTGAAAGGTGGAATGAGCAAAGGGAGAATGGGACTTTCCCAGGTCCTCTTTAATCTGGAGACAGCTTGATTGGCTCATTTTGGGAACGGGAAGTTAAATATTGCTCTTTTGCTGTTTCATTGGTTATCATTGAATCCTCTGAATCAATAAGGCATAATGGAGATTCTTTTGAATTTATTGAATGTTGATACTAAATTGTTGTGAATGGAGAAGTTGCTAAAGAACTTTTAAAGGTCTGACTTCTTTCTGATGCCCTTAATTTTATGATCCCGTGCATCAGTTTTGTGTTTTTGGTATGCTACAACCTAGAATTGGTGTGTGATATGTTTTGTCTGTGTGTTTTATCTGCATGCATGGTCCTCTCCTGCATTTATTTTTCTTATGCACCCCTTT